CCGCCTCGAGGACGCCGCTCGGGCCCCAAGAACTACGAGAGGATCGAGAAGGCCGGTAAGGCCGCTGGTGGTGGCGCTGGCGTTTCATCAGGTCTTCGAGGGGATGGGACTTGGCGGATGCATTGCTCAGGTAGAAAATTTAGGTTTTTGTGTAGTATAGTTTGAATCTTTGAGGGTTTGGTGGGGGATAAACCCTACATAATTGCAGCATTTGGAGTTCAACCAAACTTTTAGTATCGATTCTAGGATTTGAGGAATCTTTATGCTAGTATTCTAATACCTTACAAGGATGTATGTCAGCATCATTTGAGATTGCTTGCATCTAGATATTATATTCTTCTTGGAGCTTAAATCATTTGTTAAATTGTTCCCGTTGAAATAAAATTGTTACATTTGAAGCCATTCTATATATTCAAAGTTACATTATTGCAACTTCCTAAATGTAGAAACACGAAGAAACCCTCTTTCATATCTGAGCTAATATTTGGTTGTGCAAAACTTGCTGTGATGTTACGAATTACTGGTCTTGTGATCAATAGTAATAAAGATTACTCAGTCTTATGATAGGAGGGACATTTTAATGGTAGTCAATTCTTTTAGTGCTATTGTATATCGTTTTTGTTACGCTCTTGCTGTTAGTTATCTTATCCATCAGTATTTCCATTCTAGGATGAGAAGTTGGTGTTGGATTTGAAAATAAGGCATAGTTTTCAAAGCATCTTCCCTATATTGTTATATTCTAGTCCAATCGAAAGTTATTTGCCAGAATTGTCCAACGTACAAAGAGTGAGTGTGGCATAAATGAGGTTGTTATGATGGTGAGTGGATAGGCACTAACTCTCTATTTGGTTATGTAAAGTCATTTGTTCATTGAATCGCATTTATCTGCTTTTAACTGAAGGTATATTTTCTATAAGTATAATGTTCATTGAACCGCTTTTAAACTCAACCTATTGTTCTTTTGATCCGCTTATATTTTGCTTTCAGGAAATCAACGTGATCCTCAAGACCAATTCCCCGGATGCTAGATGCCAATTGTGATATCAAGCATTTTTTGTGTACATATATATGTTTGGAAAGTGATTTGTAAAGTCATTTGTACGAAACCTATGAGACTGTTGTTGGGATTGGTTATGTAAATTCAAATGTAAAGTCATTTTGTACAATCAACCACTGTGGTTAAATTACTGGTTATGTAAAGTTTTATATGCTTCTAAGTCATTAAAATTGATGGTTTATTGCACGTAAAGTTCTATGGTTCAGCGCACCAGCTACATAAAGTTTTCCCTCAAACAGAACACAATATTCTCTTACAGAGATTAGCGTGGTACACATAACCATAACACAACAAAAGGAAGAAAAGAACATCACGCATAACCCGCTACACTTACAGGATAACCCGCTACACTTACAGTAGCATGTTAACCTGTAAGTATAGCACGTTAAATTGTAAGTATAGCGCGTTATATCGTAAGTATAGCACGTTAACATGTAAGTATAGCACGTTGACCTGTAAGTATAGCATGTTAACCTGTAAGTATAGCACGTTAAATTGTAAGTATAGCGCGTTATATCGTAAGTATAGCACGTTAACATGTAAGTATAGCACGTTGACCTGTAAGTATAGCATGTTAACCTGTAAGTATAGCACGTTAAATTGTAAGTATAGCGCGTTATATCGTAAGTATAGCACGTTAACATGTAAGTATAGCACGTTGACCTGTAAGTATAGCATGTTAACCTGTAAGTATAGCACGTTAAATTGTAAGTATAGCGCGTTATATCGTAAGTATAGCACGTTAACATGTAAGTATAGCACGTTGACCTGTAAGTATAGCATGTTAACCTGTAAGTATAGCACGTTAAATTGTAAGTATAGCGCGTTATATCGTAAGTATAGCACGTTAACATGTAAGTATAGCACGTTGACCTGTAAGTATAGCATGTTAACCTGTAAGTATAGCACGTTAAATTGTAAGTATAGCGCGTTATATCGTAAGTATAGCACGTTAACATGTAAGTATAGCACGTTGACCTGTAAGTATAGCATGTTAACCTGTAAGTATAGCACGTTAAATTGTAAGTATAGCGCGTTATATCGTAAGTATAGCACGTTAACATGTAAGTATAGCACGTTGACCTGTAAGTATAGCATGTTAACCTGTAAGTATAGCACGTTAAATTGTAAGTATAGCGCGTTATATCGTAAGTATAGCACGTTAACATGTAAGTATAGCACGTTGACCTGTAAGTATAGCATGTTAACCTGTAAGTATAGCACGTTAAATTGTAAGTATAGCACGTTATATCGTAAGTATAGCACGTTAACATGTAAGTATAGCACGTTGACCTGTAAGTATAGCATGTTGACTTGTAAGTATAGCACGTTAAATTATAAGTATAACACGTTATATCATAAGTATAGCACGTTGACCTGTAAGTATAGCATGTTGACTTGTAAGTATAGCACGTTAAATTATAAGTATAACACGTTATATCATAAGTATAGCACGTTGACCTGTAAGTATAGCACGTTATCCTGTAAGTATAGCACGTTGTACTATAAGTATAGCATGTTATCCTGTAAGTATAGCACGTTATCCTGTAAGTATAGCACGTTGTACTATAAGTATAGCATGTTATCCTGTAAGTATAGCACGTTATCCTGTAAGTATAGCACGTTGTACTATAAGTATAGCATGTTATCCTGTAAGTATAGCACGTTATCCTGTAAGTATAGCACGTTGTACTGTAAGTATAGCACGTTAAATTGTAAGTATAGCACGTTATCATGTAAGTATAGCACGTTATACTGTAAGTATAGCACGTTATGCTGTAAGTATAGCACGTTATCGTGTAAGTATAACATGTTATCATATAAGTATAGCACGTTATATCGTAAGTATAGCACGTTATCATGTAAGTATAGCATGTTACCATATAAGTATAGCATGTTATTATGTAAATATAGCACGTTATCATGTAAGTATAACACATTATCCATGTAAGTATAGCATATTATTATGTAAGTATAGCACATAGATTGCAGTCCATCGATAACCTGTCGATCATCAATGGTTGACTTGTGACCATCGATGGTTAAAGGCTAAAATCTACAACTCATGTTGATGTTTGCATTATTTCGAGTCGTCACTTATTTGCACCCGTTTATTCCTAAAATATATCATCTCACAAACTCATTAGTACCAAATGAAAGTTTGTTGTTGATCAAACGGAGACATTGTCAAATTATCATTCAATAAGTACTCCAGCATTTATCAAAGCATAAACCACAGTGTGTGTAAAAATCAATAGCCTATTGGATTGCTCATATATCATCCGAACATTCATCATTCATTTTTTGTTAAACATTTCCTCCAAATTTCACAACTCTACCCTTAACCTTACATATTTTTTTCAACAACACTGATGAGAACCAACAAGATGAGGAAAGTTAAGTATGGCCCTCGACCCTCGCATCCAAAACATCGCCCGGTCGTACGCCATCGCGGCCTCTTCCGCCGTCTCGAACGTCCCGAGCCAAACCCATGCCCCATTCTTCCCGAGATCTCTCATCTCGGCAGCAAACTTCCCCCGTGGCCGCTATCTCACCCCTCTGTAGCGCCTCTCCACCGCTGCGGGAGCTGCCGCATCAGCCTACACTCAGGGCCGGTTCTGAGATTTTAGGGGCCCCGTGCAAAAATTAAACCAAATAAACTCTTCAGAAATTCAAAATGTATTAAAATTCAATGCTAAATAACTAAATTCCATTAAAATTTGAGAATTTACCAGTCATCTTATCATCAACCCCAGCATAATAGGAGTCATTAGAGGAGTAAGAGAACCCAACTCCTGCTGGTGTCTCCAAATACAACATATTGGCTTCTGCAGAATCATCTTATCATCAACCCCAGCATAATAGGAGTCATTAGAGGAGTAAGAGAACCCAACTCCTGCTGGTGTCTCCAAATACAACATATTGGCTTCTGCAGAATCACAAATAGCATCTTATAAAAGATATCTTTTTTTAAGAAAATTAAGAATCAAAAGTATTACACATACCTTTATTCCAACTAAATTCATTTCTCACTAGAATTTCCCACTGGGTCTAAAAGGCCCATTCTCTGAAAATGCCCCAACCCCAACTGAAGAACAACCGGGCCCTTTTCAAAATTCAAGCAAAAACAAAACAAAATCAAAGTTAGGCCGAAAACCAGCCCATTTGAAGAAAAGTGATAAAGATTGGATCTTTTACCTCCATTCAACCACAGGACAAGAGGCTTTGAGGATGGGTCGGCCTCAGCTTCAGCAAAGTAGTAGAAGAGAGATCTCTGATTCATCTTGTCAACTGTGATGTAGCCTGAGTACTGCTAGAAGCTCACCTGAGGTTGGCCAGGGAGCTTGGTGACCTTGTCTTCTGCGATTGAGGAGCAGAGATGGAAGAGAGCTGCAGCGGCCATGATTCGAGAGATGGAGGAGGGAGGGTCTTGGAGGGGGGGAGAGGGAGATGGGAAATTTGGGGATCTGGATGGGGTCTTGCACTGTTGTCAGCCTTGCTGCTCCTCGACGTCGCCTTCTACGCCGCCGCGGATCCAGCCATTGAGAATCTCGATCGGGTTCTTGTGAGGGAGGGAGGGAGGGAGAGAGAGAGGGGGGGGGGGGGGATGAAGGGCTATAATGGGAATTTAAGAGAAATATTTAAGGGGACCCACATATGAAAGTATACTTGGGTGTAAAGATAAATACAAAAAAAGAGTTGGGTTTAGAGATACAAAGAATAATACTTGGGTTTAAAAATAAAGTGGAGTAAACAATTGGGCCTAAAAATAAAAACCCCTTTAAATAAACTAAGTTTGACTAAAAAATTTACTATTCTACTCAAATATTATTTATAGCATTTAACTAGAAAAGCTAAAAGCAACAAAAACTTAACTTACCTTGTGAGCTATGCCCATTGTCTCCATCCGTTGAAGCAGTCTCTTCACAGTCTTGAAGAGCTAAAAGCCACAAAAACCAACTTACCTCTTCAAAATAATAACCGCTCCCAAGCAACCTCTTAATAATAATTGAGGATTGTCATTAGAGGACATTAAGAAGTTCCACTGCTATATCCATTCTCTCCATCCATTGAAGCGGTCTCTTCACAGTCTCTCCGTCCGAACCCCCAAAGTACTGAACCAAGCATGCCAAAATAACCCCAAATATCCTCTCTGATCCTTCTCTTCTCGTGACAGTTAATGGAAATCCTTGCAACCGCAGCAACTTCTTTGCTGCTCCTCCTAGCTCTCTATTTTCTCATACTAAATCCATGGCTGAGGACAAAGAAGCGAAATTATCCGCCAATCGCAGGCACCGTCTTCGGCCAGTTGATTAATCTCCATCGGTTGCAAGATTTCCTGACCGATATCTCGAAGCGACACAAGACTTTCCGGTTGCTCACCCCCTTGGGAATAAATTACGTGTTCACGGTTGACCCTGTCAATGTTGAATACATCCTCAAAACCAACTTCGCCAACTATGGAAAGGTGAACGCTAGCACGCTAATGTCTCTTTGATTTGACTGGTATCAATGGTTTTGTAGCTCAAGAAGAGATCAAATTGTTAAATTTTGTAGTTAGACGCTCTTGTATTCATTTCTTTTAGTCCCACATCGATCGCGATACTAGACCGCCGCCATTTGCATGCCCAACCCCTTCTCACCCGCCTCCATTGCCAACCTCCAGTGGATGCACACATGGTGTTTGACAGATGCGCGAAGTGCATTTCACGGATGCACACATGGTGTTCTATGGCACGAATGATGTACACTTCTCACCCTGCTGTCCTCCGGCCAGATCTCAAGGCAAGCACCTTTCCGGCCAGCTCCTCGTGTCAGCATCCCTCCGGCGGTGGGCTCTCCCGGCCATGCATGCTGGCCGTCAATCCTCGACCACTAGCAAGCACACCCGCTACTCGAACAAACACCTACCCACAATTTTGGACAAACTGTTTTTGATAGACTAGTGTAATTAGACGCTCTACTCGAACAAACACCTACCCACAATTTTGGACAAACTGTTTTTGATAGACTAGTGTAATTAGACGCTCTTGTATTCGTTTGTTTTAGTCCCACGTTTGCTTGCGATGCTGCTACACCTGCTCCTTCTACTTTGTATGTAAACACCTGAATTAACTAAAGGACATAATTCATTTTATCCGAAAAGCTCTATTCTTATCACAAATAAAAGGATTTTTAGGTTCAGTTGTGTTAGACCCTAGAGGGGGGTGATTAGGGTCTTATGCTAATCTAATCCGATTTTATGCCAATTAAAACTAATTAACAAATATATTCTTGCAAGATAGATATATAAAGAGTTGTGTGCAAGAATATGCAATATACACAAGGTGATATATCCTAGCAAAGAGGTATACTATATGATATATGCAAGGATATGCAAACACAAGGGTAACATAAACAAATGATATAGTGGATGAAATAAACAATGAGAGAAAGGCTATAAAGATGAACAAATATAAGTGTGCTAAACCAAACTCAAACAAGCAATATGATCACGGAGTTCGGACCTTCCATCATACGTCTCCGCTCCCCACTCCCGGGGAGAAATCCACTATCACAATCCGGTTTGGAAGCCGGAACTTCTACACACTCGGTTTACAAGCTTACCGAAAACTCTCACACAACAAACACTATGCAATCACACTCTACACCCTCTTGCAATCCCCCTCTACACCCTCTCAAGTGTTCAACTAGACGTGTCTCCCTCAAGTGCTCTGATACAACCTCTCCCTAGGTTCGTCAACCGACGCCACTCCTCTTGGGACGATCCCCGACTCTCACCACACACTCCTCTCGGTGTACAAGTGTATTACAAAGTGTATCCTCACAATTAGGCTTAATATAATAAATGTTTGTTCTCTACTATGGATGAGAACACAATGAAAGCTCACACTTAATTGTTACAACTCTCACCAACCTAAATATACTATGTATGAAAATACAATAAGCTCAAGTGTGTGTGTGTAGACAATGAGTGAAATAAAATCTAACTCAAATAAGGCGATTAGACCTTAAATCAAAGAGCACCAAGCTCTGATACCAATTGTTAGACCCTAGAGGGGGGGTGATTAGGGTCTTATGCTAATCTAATCCGATTAAATGCCAATTAAAATTAATTAACAAGTTATCCTAGCAATATGAAATACAACAAGATATGTGAGCTAGGATAAGCAATGTGAACAACAAGATATATCCTAACAAGAGATATAGGCAATGTATATGCAAGGATATAAAACTAACACAATGTGATATATCCTACCAAAGAGATATACAATATGATATATGCAAGGATATGTAACTAATGGTGATATAAACATAAACAAGATAGTGGATCATATAAATAATGAGCTATGGACAATGGCGATATAAGATATGAACATAAATATGAATGAACGCCAAAGCACACTCAAACAAGCAATATGATCACGGAGTTCGGACCTTCCGTCCTACGTCTCCGCTCCCCACTCCCGGGGAGAAATCCACTATCACAATCCGGTTTGGAAGCCGGAACTTCTACACACTCGGTTTTCTAGCTAACCGAAAACTCTACAACTCACACTATGCACTCACACTCTACACCCACTAAGTGTTGGACCTAGCCGTGTCTCCCTCAAGTGCTCGGTTACAACCTCTCCCTAGGTTCGTCAACCGACATCACTCCTCTTGGGACGATCCCCGACTCTCACCACACACTCCTCTCGGTGTACAAGTGTATTACAAAGTGTATCTCACAATAAGCACAATATAAATCAAATGATTGTTCTCTAAACAAGATGAGAACTCAATTAAGCACAACTCTTAGTCACAAACCCACAACCCCAAATTATACTATGAATGTAAATACAATAAGCTCAATGGTTGTGTGTGTAAACAAAGAGTAGATCAAATCAAACTAAACTCAAATAAATTCCTAGCTTAATAAAATGGTAATCAAACATTTATATATAAATGTAAAGCTAGATTGAGTTTAGAAACACTTCTCTAAAGACGACAAGAGAGAGAGGGAGAAGAGTTGAATGCCCAAACACCAAAGAATGATCTCCTCAAGCTCTTGTGAAAGTTCTTCATAAACAAACTCTTGAAACAAACTTAAAAACCCTTCAACAAACTTGTAAAACTCTTTTTAAAACTCTCTTAAACATCCATAAGAAACAATGAAAGTTGAGGGCTTTTTATAGCCTCTTAAACCAGCCACAAACCCCCAAAAATCGAAAATATCAAAAACTAGCCGTTACTAGCCGTTATAGGCTGAAAAGACCAAAATACCCCAAATTCCAGCATTCTGGAAATTTGCGTATCTGACTTTATAAAATCAATTAAAAATAGTAAATCAATTCCAAAAATCATGAAATTTTGAGGGAAGGTTCTAGACATGTAGATTAACATGTTAGATAAAGAATTTATTAAAAATAACTTCCCAGTTGAGAGAAATAAATGTTTGAACACAGATTTATAGTTTCTAAAAAACTGCTGACATACACGATTTTGTAAAATCAATTGGGCACAGTAAATCAACTCCAAAAATAGTAAAATTTTGAGGGAAGTTTCTAAACATGTAGATAAACATGTAAAAGAAATAATTTCTTGAATATCACTTCCTATTTATGAAAACTCATCTCACTTCTCATTTATGAAAAATCATCTGTTTTGTAAAACATGCACGAACATGTGCACGAACAAAAACATAATTTTGTAAATTCAATTAAACATAACAAATCAATTCCAAACTTGATGAAACTTTGCGAAATATTTGTAAACATGAAAACAAACATGTTAGAAAAATAATTTCTCAAATTGAATTTCTATTTGTGAAAACTCATGTATTTTGCAAGTGTGTCCAAAGCATGAAAAGTCAAAACCATGCATGTATATATATAACTATATATATACATAGAAACCAAATACGTGTGTGTATATGATATTGAGCTTAAGGTACTTAACACATATAATATAAAATCTAAACTAGATTACCCAAGCTTGATCTTGATCTTCATTGTAGCTCAACTTGGTACACTTTGCGGATGAAGCTTGAACTTGATCTTTAACTTGAATTGTATGTTGCTTCACTCCACAATTCCGCTAACCTCCATTGGATATGTTCGTTGAAGCTCTATTCATCCATCCTCCAACTCGTTGTTTATCTACAATACATAGGAAAATACAAATACTAGACAAACAATATTAGTAGTAAATTGTTTGTTAAACATCATCAAAACAAGAAGGCCAACAATCTCCCCCTTTTTGATGATGACAAACAATTTACAAAAAGGATATATGCATGAAAGAAAATAAATATATAAATTATAACATATCATGCATATAAACAAGAAAGAATATACTCACAATATTTCTCCCCCTTTGACAACATCAAAAAGGGGACAAAAGGAATAAGAGAGCGAAACCACCCCCTACCTATAAGCATGGGTGAGTATAACACATAGAAAGATATAGGGATTGCTCCCCCTATCAAAATGCCATAAAGAATATATGAAATGAAGATCATGGCAAACATGTGAGCAAGCATAAATGAAAAATATGATAAACACCACTCACATACAAAAAGACAATGAGAACACATAAAAATATGTTAATATGAAAGAAGTGTCTCATTAACACAAAAGATATAAAAGCCATATAAAAGAATAGATTTATGAAAACAAAAGAAGAGGAACATGAGAATCATGCAAAAAGTTTTCAAATGAAAATAAATCAACCAAAAGAAATCATAAATCAAAGTTTAAATCCAAAAACGTAGAATCAAATCATCATTGATTCAAAAATCAAGAGAGGCAACTATATCTAGCTCTTGAGCTAGTATCAACCCATATAAACATTTTAGTACCCGGTAAACAAGATTTGGGAATAAACACCCAACAAATCCGGAGGGTTATATAAGTACAAACCTCTCATCAAAACAAAACCAATAATCATGAAAACAAAAGAGTTTGACCAATAAAAGGAATTATTTTCATAAAAGTTTAAAATACATTTATCAAAACTAAGACAAAAGAACTAAAGTTCTTGGTTTAAAAATTAAATTTGTTTTGGTACCCAAGAACTCTTGGTACCAAACGATTTAGGGACATGACCCCTATCATTCAAGCTCAAAGCCCTAGGGTTATGAACCCATTTGGGCGCATTTAGTGCACGGGTCCGGTCATAGCAATAATTATGCAAATGACCCATTCGATTGCAATAAGTACAATGAAGAGGATGCATTTGATTATGTTGACCATGTGGATGTGCACGAGGAACATTTACAAATAAAGATGGTCTTTTAAGATTATTTTGCAAATGAGAAACATTTTGAAACAATGTTGGTCTACTTGAAATATTTTGCGATTTAGAAACTTTTCGCAAATCAAAACAAAACTTAGCTAAGTGACCAACTCTACCACAAAAATCACAATGATACACATGAGCATGCTTATGATGAGAAATAGATGCATGTGTGTGTACACGTGATGAAGAAACTTGATGAGATGCACAAGTAGGATTAATATTCTTATGTTTTTGTGCATCATAGTAAA